ATGTATTGCAAATAAAGGTAAAATTTTGGTTTAATATTTTGAATGACATCAAAGGATTAGCAATACAGAATGGTTTTTACAGCCTGATTTGCTCATGGAGTGCGCTGTATGTAAGTATGCAGATACAATATATGACAATATAAATACAATGAAGGATTTTGGTTATATCACATATTTGTACCATGCATTTTAGACTTTATACAGATATTAAGCAGTTCTGTCATACAGTCCCATCACATGTTGTTAGACATACAGACATTGCACAGTCTTATCGTATGTTGTTAGGCTTCATAAAGATTCAGCAGAAAGAAGTAATGCTGGAAGTATGGCTTTACCTTAGACCTTGATTAGTCCTGTCACAGTGATGTAGTGTTATGTGTGATTCTACATGCTCATCCTCATTGCACTTAAATGATTGTAGTCTGAGCTTACTGGCTTGATGATGTTACTGAAAGAAAAGTCAGGTGTGAAGTTCCGCCGCACTGTATGTTGTAGTGTTCTCTAACACACAGTTTACTTTAGGAAGGGCTTGCTAGTTATTTCTTTAGTTGCATTAAATGTATTTGGAGCAGGGGAAACTCTAAAATGTGCAAGCGGTGTTACTCCCAGACCTGAGTTTAGAACCCTTGTTCTAGACTAGTGACCCCAGGAGCAGAAAGTACTAAGAGGAACTCTTGTTGGAATATGGCACACAGTATCTTGACGTGAATCATTATCATGGCTATAGGTCTTTGTACTTTATTAACTTGACTTAGTTTACTACACATAAAATCTACAGATATCAAACATTCACATGGATGGATGGATGGATGGATGGATGGATAGATAGATAGATGTGTATATAGAATAATTATATACAAAAATACAAAAGCATATATGCATGTACAGTATGCATATACACTTATATGCAAAGATTTGTGCACGCCTGGCCAAATACGTACGTTGTTGATTTTTGAAGTGAAAAGAAGGGAACACAGCCTGTACAGCAAAAGATATAAACATTAATTCACAGTTTTTTGTTTTGCATACTTCAGATGTTGACTTTCATACAGATCATGTTTGTCAAAATAGCGCTGCACAGTAGAACGTTGCATCACCTCTCCTGTGTCAGCTTAGTCTTTCTGCAGGTCCTTTGCTGTCACATGGGTTTTTCTTTGCCTTTCTGGCCAGCATACAATCAGTTCTAACTATGAGTTTTCTAGATCTTCCAGATCTTCCAGATCTTGCCTTGACGTACACAATTCCCCTTAGCTGCAGTTTCTTAATGACATTATGGACAATAAAAAAATTGCAAAAATTGCATTAAAGTCTTTTTATAGACTTCTTTGGCTCTGTAGGCATCAGTTAGCTTGAAATCCTTGCCGGCTGCTTAAAGGAGCTCTTGGTTGTTAAGTGTTAGCACAAAGTCTGAAGTCAAAGTCAGAGAATTTGGTCACGCCGTTTGGTCTGATACCTTTTTTTTGTCAGATGTTCAGTGACACGAGATCTGAGACATGACGATGGTTTTCTCGAGACTCAAAGTCATTTACTCTGAGGAATGATGTCATTCTCTCTGATGTCCGAGTACTGACGCTGAGGTCTGAAGATGTCCTAAAATGTACACCGTAGCCCCACCTAGTGTTAATGAACATAGACTTACATGTTGGTTGACTTGAAAATGCCGTGGTATGTTAGTGTGTTTTGCGCTGATACAAGTGGATCAGACACAGCAGTGCTTCTGGAATTTTTAAACACCTCTGTGTCACTGCTGGACTGAGAATAGTCCACCAACCAGAAATATCTAGCCAACAGTGTCCTGTGACTACTGATGAAGGACTGAAGGATGACCAATACAAATTGTGCAGCAGCAGATGAGCTGTTGCCCCTGACTTTATATCTACAAGGTAGACTAACAGGGTGTGTCTAATAGAGTGTACAGTGAGTGGACACAGTGTTTCAAGTTTTTGAAAGTGTTTCAGTATTTTTCAAGTGTTTTAAATGTTTTATTGTGTTTTTAATGTTAGTTACTACTTCACCACCAATAAGGTGATTTACTATCAAAATAGTCTACTTTTAATGCAGGTAACATTTTCTGATACAAGATTTAGGCCATCAGAATATCATACCTGTAGTTTTAATTCTGGTAGCAGTTTTTGATAAGGTGATTTGGCCTAACAAAGTATCCTACCTGTAGTTTAATGCTGGTAGCAATTTTTGATAAGGTGATTTTAGGCCATCAATATATTCTACCTGTAGTTTTAATGCTGGTAGCAATTTTTGATATAGAGATTTAGGCTATCAACGTATTCCTACAGTTTAATGTATAGAGCTACCAGTTAATATGCACTATGGTAGGACATTTTGACAAGGTAACATAATTCGTCAGAACACCAGTTCAGGTCGATCTGTTGAACTCTAGTCAGTTTTGGACTCAAAACTTGATGATGTGGTTCACGTCAGGTCAGGTTCAGGCGAAATTTTGAATCACCTGGGTTGGGTTCGGACTAAAAACTTAACAATGTGGTTTGGTTTGTGTCAGACATAAGGATGTTCTCGGGCTGTATTTGGTTTAGGAACAAAATTTCAGGTCCGATTGAAGCTCAAGTTCAAGTAAAACATGCTTTTGGTCATCTTCTTGTATTGCCATAGAAACTTTATCGTAAAATTTCACAGCAATCAGACAAGTGTTTCTTAAGATTCACCCTGAAGGCAATGTACAAGGAAAGTAACGCTTTTGTCATGATAGATGATAAAAGAACATGGTGTTTTGTTTTTTTTTTTTATTAAAGTTGGTGAACTCACACAGACATTATTTTAATCACCCTCTTGGTGGTTAACATAGCAGTTTTGAAGCGGATAACCAATTCACAGCAAGACCTAGCTAGGATAAAGTACAACCTCCACAGGGCAGGATTAGTTTTACCTGGAAGATGCTGTAATTTGAGTGATTACCGATGATCTCTGTGATTTTTTAATCCAGTAGGAATCTGCAATGTTTGTAATTCTACAAGTCTGATAAGCAGTAATTCCAGAGCGAATTACCTTCTATGATTTACAATATTGCAATTTTTTTGCAATATGTTTGCCATTTAGCTGTGCATGTGTCATGCATGCATAGAGAATATTACTTTTACTGGCGACACCTGATCTGTGTGTAAGCAATGTAAGGCAGTTTAGTTGAGCCATAACAAAGCTGTCATAATCTTCAGTAGGCATTATCTGTGTATTTTGCACTCTTCCCTGTTTGGTTTGAGGTGTAATTATCTACCTTTCTACACCGTTGTGCTTTGTGCATGATGACATTCTTAGCATGTATTTGCACTACAATTACAATAGTATAAACAAAGCTGAGCAAAATATAGGCTCAATCTTAAATGGCTTCCTACTCCCTATGTAGTGCACACTACGTAGATCATTATATAACGGCACACATTTGTACACACAAAGCTCCTATCTAACATTTAGTGCAGTGGTTCCCAAACCTGCTCTGCACATTTAAGTGTTTGCCCTGATCCCAACACATAAGATCCAAATAAACAGCTAATTAACAAACCCTTCCTGAGTTGAAGCATTGTAAATGAGGACCTTGTGTGAAATGAGTATGTTTTGCTCTCTCATGATACTCCAAAATGATAGTAACATTGAGCAAGTTTTTGTCTGTACCCATCTTGTCTCCCTGTGCTCTAAATTGTTTTTACTCTTTGAAAGACACTTAATACTAAGTAGCATGAAGAGAATGAGACTGCTTATTTAGTGGTTTTAGCATTAAACATTCCAAGCTAATCTTCTAATGCAATGTTGTAAAAAGACATAGCACAGCATACACATGCCCGACAGTAGCATGCCTGCACAGTGCAAATCGGATATTCAACAACATGCTATAGATGTATAAATAAAATATTTTTCAGTTTTATTAGGCTGGTATTTGCACTTTGGTCAAGAAAGTTTGCTACAGGTTCTTTTTACTACAGTATATTTTTATCAGTTTTATATATGTGCATATATTGTTTATGTATTGAAGTGGGAAGCTTGCCTGTTTTAGGCAATATAAAAATGTAATGAAGGAATTATGTTTTTGCACGTTTTGCCAGACATTTACTGTGTTGAAATGTTTTCAACAGCCTGTCACAGTTAGCCCAAGTTGACACTTTCGGTGAGAGTGAGGGAGCGTATTCTGTTCGTTGAAAAGGCACTACTTATTTTCAAAATTCTGTCACTAAGTTATTATTTTTGATGCTTTATGCTATCATTTGGATGAGATTAGATTTATTCTAATATATTTATATGGGAGCATATTAAAACTGACTAAACTGAGTAAAGTAACAAATTATGGAACCCTGTCCCTAACTTACTCATTTCCTAAACCAAAAACACAAGTGTGAAATGCTTTGCCGATTAAATCTGATTTTACATGTCTAAGTTAGTTAACTACTGCATTGTGAATGAGCGAATCTTTATCCTTTAGTGCTATTTGGTTGCCTAGAGATCACTGGAGACCTACGTTGTTAATGCTCATGGTTTTAGAATGGGATGTCCAACAAGCTTATATAGGTGTAATGGTCAGGTGGCCACATAATTTTGTAATATCTAAATCTATTTTTACTCAAGGAAAAAATATAACAAAGAAAATCTCTACTATCACTTGTGTACAAATTTTGTACACCACTGCTTATTACATGTGGAAAGTTTTGGTGAGATGAAAATGTGAAAATAAATTTATTCTGTCCAAAAAGTATATTGGAGAGCCCTTTTCTAGAGAAAGCATTTTCTCTGAATAACTATTACAGTGGCTCCTACTTCTGTCTGACGCGCTCTATATTCTTGTTCTCTTCCTTTGTCAAACTTTTCTTTTATAGCTCTTCTATTCTTACCTTCTTCATCAACATGTTTCTTTTTTATGCCTTTCATTGAAACCATCTTGACTCACTGTTGCCTGCATGGTTATCCCTTCTTACAAAACCTGTTCCTCCTATCCTTCATTTCTTTAGATTTTCCACTCATTCTCTTTTCCCTTTCCTTAGGCTGCATATAAAGGCTCTGTTCCCATATATGGACAGTATGGTAAGCTACGCTGTGTCTTCATATACTTACTTAGTGTACTTCGTGCACGAAAGTTACAATCATTATATTCCCATGATTGTAATGATCCCTTGTTTCTCTCTCTCCCAGGTCGATCGGCCCCCATGAAAAGCATTTCAGGTAGCCTGAAAGAGACTATGAAACATGGGGACATAGTGCAGGACGCCATCCACAACTTTTCTCTTCAGCCTATCAGCAATATACCCAGCAGTCGACCCTGGAACAGAGGACCACCACTCAGACAGCCACAGCTCTGTCAATGCCTGGGACAACGAGAAAACCCTCCTGATCAATTCTGATGATGAGTTTTCGGTCATTTAACCCTTTTGTAGACTGCTTTAACATACACATAAGTACTCTTAGGTCTCTAGGACAGGGTCTATGCTGCTGTGGCATATACTGGTAGTTTAAGTACAGCTGATTTATCTTGGGGACAGAACATTATAGAACCATAGGACAACTAGTGTTCAAGGATTTCCATGTTGGAAGCTGTCAAGAGTGAAATTGTTAAAATTATTGCTGTTTACTGTTGTATTTGTTATGAAACAACAAAGACTTTAGTGAAAGCCTTTTGGTATGCTCTGCCTTGGAGGTTTATTTTAAGGATTTTTAACCCGATTAGACTTTTTAAGTAATAAATTAGCAGTATTTAGACAGCTTAATAAATGGCAATTGCATTTCATGCATTTATACTTAAACTTTGCTGGTTACATCTACTTATAGAAAGAATTCAGAATCCCTGTATATAGCCTATATGTGAGGACTGTAAAATATTACAAATAAGTGATATAACAGCAAAAGTTCAGTCAGCAATGCTAATGTTGCTAACCATCAATGATATAAGGTAATACCCATCAATTGGTATTATTCTGATGACATTATGCTACTTGGTGAATACGAGTTTCCATTCATTGTTAACTATGTTTAGCATACAACCCCATTTCCAAAGAAGTTGGGATGCTGTGCAATATGTAAATAGAAACAAAATGCAATGATGTGTAAATCATTTAAACCCTGTATTTACTTAAAAATATAGTACTAAGACAACATATCAAACGTGGAAACTGAGAAATTTAATTGTTTTTTGAAAAATATGTGCGCAATTAGAATTTATGCCAACAACACGTTCCAAAAAGTTGTGACGGGGGCAACAAAAGGCTGGTAAGGTCGTGTAATGCTAAAAAACACCTGGTGGTTGATTGGCAACAGTTCAGTAACATGGTATGGATATAAAAAAAGGATCCCAGAGAGGTTGAGTCTTTTAGAAGTAAAGATGAGGAGGGGTTCACCACTCTGTGAAAGGCTGCATGTTCAAATAGCGCAACAATTCAAGAATAACATTTCTCAACCTAAAATAGCAAAGAACTTTTGCTTTTCATCATCTACGGTACATAATAACATTAAAAGATTCAGATAATCTGGAAAAATCTGTATGCAAGGGACAAGACCAAAAACCAGTATTTGCTGCCCATGATCTTTGGGTCCTCAGGTGGCACTGCATTAAAAACAGACATGATTCTGTAGCAGAAATCACTACATGGGCTCAGAAACACTTCTGAAAAACACTATCTATGAAAACGCAAAGAAGAATCTGTACATTAATAGGATCCAGAAATGCTGCCACCTTCTCTGGGCCTGAGCTTGTTTAAAATGGACCTAAGGGAAGTGGAAAAGTGTCCTATGGTCCAACAAATCAACATTTGACACTCTTTCTGGAAATCATGGTCACTGTGTCTTCCAGGCTAAAGACCACTCAGCTTGTTGTCAGTGCACAGTACAAAAACCAGTATTCATGATGGTATAGGGGTGCATTAGTACACATGACATGGGTGACGTGCACATCTGTGAAGGCACCATTAATGCTGAACAATATAGGTTTTGGTAACATATGCTGCCATCCAGACAATGTCTTTTTCAGGGAAGGCCTTGATTATTTCAGCAAGATGACACCAAACCACATTCTGCATGTATTACAACTGCATTGCTCCATACTAAAAGAGTCTGGGTGATAAACTGACCTGCCTGTAGTCCAGTCCAGTCACCCACTGATAACATGTGGTGCGTTATGAAATGAAAAATACAACAAAGGAGATCCAGAACTGTTAAGAAGCTGAAATTCTATATCAAACAAGAATGGAAAACATTTTGATTTCAAAACTAGAGCAGTTGGTCTCCTCAGTTCCCAAATGCTTACAGAGTTTTGTTAAGAGGTGACGAAACACATGGTAAACATGCCCCCGTCTTAACCTTTTTGGAACATGTTGTCGGCATCAAATTCAAAATGAGCATATATTTTCAAAAAACAAAATTTCTGAGTTTCTTTGTAGTATTTTCCTTTAAAAATATGGTTCACATAATTTGCACATCATTGCATTCTATTTTTATTTACATTCTGCACAGCGTCCCAAGTTTTTATTGCTCTTCTAATGAAGAATTTTGAGGTTTTGCCTCTGCTTTCCAGGTTCAGACATCAGATTGACAGTGTTTACGGTTTCCCCTGGTGTGATGGTAGAGATTAGCACAGGCTTTTGTCACGGTGTCAGACAAGAGACCACTGCAGTAAACCCACTATCCGGGTTGTGTAGGTAAAATAAAATCTAGGTTATAGTTATGCGGTGGAGTGCTCTGTGACATACTCAATGCTGCTTAATCATAGTTAAACCATCTAAATATCGTGATGCTTTTGTGGGTGTTTCACCCTACTTATATATTCCACACACTTCAAAATACTTTCCAGTTCAGATAATTACAGCAGGCTTCCTTTTTTGTTTTTCCATTAAACAATTAAGAATGTTAATCCCAAAGTTATGCTGAATGGTTTATAGAGAGATGCACAATGTTACTAGGACAACAGAATAATTAAGGACATTTAGAAATAAGCAATGGATTGGGGATGAAGTAAATGCTTTATTTATTTTTTTTAATATAGCGATGTATATTTTTCCTTTAAGGATTATTTTTCCTTGTGATGTGCCAAGATGTAAAACAATAAATAAGGATTCTGTCTTCAAAATTTCAAAATAACATCTTTCAATGAGCACACATGGTTGTATGTACAATATATACATTTATTCCAATTAATGGTATAAAATAGACAATATATTTACTTTACCATAGAAAAATACAGATAATAAATACATACTTGTTTTGCTGCTTTACAAAACGCCCAGCATGTTTAGAAACAGAAAGCATGATTAGAAGATATTTGAATCAAGTGCTGCTCAATATTGGCATGAGATTTAATGGGAACTAGAAATAATCTTTCGATCTAGAAATACCAGTCCATATACATATTACTCCCAGCTGCTGGCTAATGGCTGGTAATTTTCTTGTCAACCATGGGTTAATGTGATCACTTATAGCCACAACTATCTGTCTCATGTTCCCTCTACCACTTGCAGAATCACCCTTTTCTTCTTACACTTGATTCTTTCCCTGACTTTTCATTCTTTGCCCTCATTTTTTGCCTTGCTCCCATTGTTTGCCCTCTTACTCTCGTGATACTTTTTAAGCTTTTGTCATTATAAATACCAAAAAATTATTTTACTTTCAAATACAAAAATACCACTACTGGAAGTATACTGTACTATACTATACTAACACAAATATGACCTTCACACAGACCCACTGAATCATGTTACAGTAAACGGGTTTTACATATATAAACATAGTTAAATTCCTCATGAACACAGTAAAACTTACATTAACTCACACGCATTAGAATAATTTAGACATGACAATGTCCCTAAGATAAGTCATACATAAGCAGTATTTTGACTTAAAATCACAGCACTCTTTAGCTTTAAAGGTCTTCATCTTAAAATATAGATAAAAATTTAATTCTGCAGATTTCTTTTGTTTAAGTATTAAAAATAATTACATAGGAATATATCAGCTTGCATTGACGTGGCATTCTACTGGTCTGTTCCATGACTAATTATAATTAACAATATATTCCAGCAATATTTGCCAACTTACAAAACGTTGGTAGTCAGAGATATAAAGTCAAGCTCAGTCATTACTTCAGTAAAGACCTGTACAGTTATGACTATACCTTCCATGTAAGGTAAAAAAGTAACGTATAATAATAATAATAATATAATAATCAAGCTAAATGTCATGTAAACTGACCAACAATACTCTTGTTTTTGCTGGTTAAATTCAATGTAATAGGCCAACCATAGAAACAAGAGGAAAAAAGTCAAATCATTGAGAAATAATAAACATTCCAAACATTAGAACAAGATAAAAATAATCTAGTGCCCAAATAACTAGGCAGAGGCAGAATGGTACAGAGACCAGTCTAGGATTTTTATAAGACTTGTTTATATAAGTGGATATCAACACAAAATATGTGAATAAAATGCAATGGTGGTGTGTATTATGGGACTTATATACATGGAACAGTGTAAGACAATGACTCTAACCAATCTAAAAACATTTACAGCTATAATATCTATTAAAATGTTTATCAGAAATGCTTGCCAGTCAGCCAGTTATTCAGTTCAGCTTAAAGGATCCAGTTATTGTGTCTGGTATAAGTCATGTACCTCTATACACTCTTAAAAATAAAAGTTTATAAATGGTTTTTGGCTTAGACATACGATTCTTTAGGGAAAAAAAACAACAACTTTCACTGGTATTGATCATATGCGTTATGTGAAAGTTTCTTCACACTTACATTTTCCAATTTACAAAGACAGTTCTTTAAAGAACACTGAAAGGTTCTTGAGGGAGTCAAGTCTTCTATGGCACTGCTCCACAGAAACCTTTTTGGCAACTTTATTTTTAAGAGTGTACCTGCGTGTGCACCTGTTGCCAATAGCAGCTAGCCCTAAGATGCTTCTTGCCCTCTGTGGGCATGGCTCTGCTGTGGGCTCTTCACAATGGTGATGACAGATGCCGTGTTAAGGCGAGGAGCCGTAGCCAGAAGGCTTCCTCCTCCAGCCTCCAGGCCTCGAGCGAAGCGCTGCAGGGCAGCCAGCCGAGCTCCCAGCCCCTCTAACTCTCGTCGCATGCCTGCATTCTCAGCACCCAGCCGCTCCACCTCACGTTGCAGCTCCTTCTTCTGCTGCTCCAGAGCCTCGCGCTGAGACACACGCTTCACCCTGCAGCTGGCAGCATAGCCACGGTTCTTCAGCGTACGTCGCCTCTGCTTCAGCTTCTGGATCTCCTCTCTCGACAAACCACGCAAGAGCAGGTTCAGCTCGCGTACCGACAGAGACATGAGCTCACTGTCTGTAAGCACAGGAACATTTTCTCCACATTCCCTCTTCACCTAAGAAGAAAAGACAGTCATGTCATAGCTCCTATGCATTAATTTTTCTTTAACACGATGGTATACTCTGGAAAATCAAGGTTCCCAAATAGTTCTTGGCTTTGGCATATGATTCTTGGAAAGACCTTAACTGGGCATGGAGCTTTTACATTATGAGGAGGGAAAACCTTGCACATCTTATTTACAAAAATGGCTCTTTAAAGAACCATCCACTAAAAAGCCCTTTAGGGAACCAAAAGTGGTTCTTCTATGCCATTGCTCCAAAGAACGCTTTTCGGCACCATTTTTTAAAAGAAGCAATGTATTCCATATTATATGAAGTATGGTGATATTTACCTTTGCAATACTGATATTGCAAAAGGCTATATGCAAATAAGGCATCTAACAAATCACTTTTTGTGCTGCAAGCATTCCAACCAATTACAGTTCCAGATGAATCAAGGCATTCAACAGATGTCAAAGTAATGTAGGCCAGTCTGCAATCACATCAAGAGTTCACTAACCTCTTAAAATTTGTGAACCCATCTCATAACTAGGTTCAGAATAGTTAATGAATAATTTGTGTGATAACAGGTAAGTAAAGTAATAAGTCTTAAAATCATATCTAAATAATAAGCATGAAGTTTAAAGGGTTAACATATTACAAGACATACTGCAATATGTAGCAATATCGTATCACACGTGAAATTTTATTCCTTTTTGAAAAATATATGCACAACTTGAATTTGATGCCACCAACATGTTCCAGAAAAGTTGGGACGGGGGCATCACCTCTCTTTTTAACAGCACTCTGTAAGAGTTTGGGAACTGATGAGGCCAACTGCTGTAGTTTTGAAAAAGGTTTTCCATTTTTGTTTGATATAGGATTTCAGCTGCACAACAGTTTGGGGTCTCTTTTGTTGTATTTTTCATTTCATAATGCGGCAAATGTTTTTAGTGGGTGACGGGTCTGTCTGGACTACAGGCAGGTCAGTTTAGCGCCTGGACTCTCTTAATATGGAGCAATGCTTTTGTAATACATGCAGAATGTGGTTTGGCATTGTCTTACTGAAATAATCAAGGCCTTCCCTAAAAAAGACGTCATCTGGATGGCAGCATATGTTGCCAAAACATGTATTTATTGTTTGGCATTAATGGTGCCTTCACAGATGTGCACATCACCCATGCCATGCACACTAATACACCCCTATACCATCATGAATACTGGCTTTTGAACTGTGCACTGATAACAAGCTGAGTGGTCTTTAGCCTGGAGCCTGATTTGTCGGACGACAGGACACTTCTCCACTTCCCCTCAGTCCGTTTTAAATGAGCTTGGGCCCAGAGAAGGCGGCATCGTTTCTGGATCCTGTTTATATATAGTTTCTTCTTTGCGTTTTAGAGTTTTAACTTGCATCTGTGGATGCAGTGACGAAGTGGTTTTCAGAAGTGTTCCTGAGCCCATGCAGTGCTGCCTGAGGGCCCAAAGATCATGGGCAGCAAATACTGGTTTTTGGCCTTGTCCCTTGCATACAGAGATTTCTCTAGATTCTCTGAATCTTTTAATGATATTATGTACCATAGATGATGAAAAGCAAAAGTTCTTTGCTATTTTACATTGAGAAACATTATTCTTGAATTGTTGCACTCTTTGCCCGCGCAGTCTTTCAGAGTGGTGAACCCCTCTTCATCTTTACTCTGAAAGACTCAGCCTCTCTGAGATGCTTTTTTATACCCAATCATGTTACTGACCTGTTGCCATTTAACCACCAGGTGTTTTATTTAGCATTACACAACTTTACAATCCTTTTGTTGCCCCCCTCCCAACTTTTTTGGAACATGCTGTTAGCATCAAATTCAAAATGGGCATATATTTTTCCAAAAGCAATGAAATTTCTCAGTTTCAACTTTTGATATGTTGTCTTTGTAGTATTTTCAATTAAATATAGGGTTTAGATGATTTGCACATCATTGCATTTTGTTTTTATTTACATTTTGCACAGCATCCCAACTTTTTTGGAAATGGGGTTGTAATTTGTCACGTTTAAATGTTTCAGATCATGCAACCAATATAAAGACAATTTGAGTAAACACAAAATGCACCCTTTTAAAATGTATCAATTCCATTTATTGAAGATAAAGATTTATTCAAAACCTATTACCCATGTGAAAAAGTAATTGCCCCTGAACCTAATAACTAGTTGTGCAACCCTTGGCAGTAACAACTGCAATCAAACGTTTGTGATAACTTGCAATGAGTCTATTATGTTGCTGTGGACAGATTTCGGCCCATTCTTCTTTGCAGAATTGTTTTAATTCGGCTACATTAGCTTGTGTGCTTCAGATCACTGCGCAAGAGCGCTTGAGCTTTAGGTCACAAACTGATGGGCGGACATTCTCTTTAAGGATTTTCTGATACAGAGCAGAATTCATGGTTCCATCATTATGATAAGTCATCGCCCAGACCCTGCAGAAGCAAAGCAGCCCTAGACCACCACACTACCACCTCCATGTTTGACTGTTGGTATGATGTTCTTATGGTGGAATGCGGTGTTAGCTTAACGCCAGATGCAACAGGACCCATGTCTTCCAAAAAATTCCACCTTTGAGTCATCAGTCCTCAGAATATTATCCCAGTCTTGGGGTGACTTAAATTTTTTTGGCAAATGCAAGATGAGCCTTTGTGTTTTTTTGATCAGCAGTGGTTTGCGCCTTGCAACTCTCCAATAGATGCCATTTTTGTAATCGGGTATATTGACTTTAATGGACCAGCACATTATTTTTACTCTTAAAAATGTTTTATTAGCAGGACAAGTGTGATTATCTATGTGAGTATCTGCTTCTGTCCAACGTCATAAGCTACCTTATGTTGCATATTCACAATCTGTGAAATCAATTGACCCTCCTACACTTCACAGGCTCTGCAGCAGTCTACTTGAGTAATGTTATAGCTACTAGGAGATGGTAGACATTTACATTACATTCTATTCCAAATAACGAGACCAAATCAAAATGGCTCAAATTTCTTTCTGTTGTTAAAGTGACACCCAGTACCAGAGTTTGTAGCAAGAGTTTGTTATTGCCGACTATTGAGCTCAATGCAGCTCTGGATTTGCCAGCCAACAAGCTGAAAGGAACAGCTTTTACAACCCTTACTGGAGGCAAGGTGAATGATAAGACGGTAAATCTTTAATTTTTAACTAACAATCATCATTTTTCTTTGACAGTTTATTCAATAATGTAACAAGCAATGAGAATGTGGCAAACTATGCAGGCTAACATTAGCTAATTTTGTTATCTAATTTAGCTTGCTAACCTTACATTAACATTAGCTACCTGCCATCAAATATTTTGTCTTTTTCTAAGATGCAAGACCGATATAGATTTATTTTTATGATGTCAAAAGTTTTTTAAAAATAATAAAATGTCAGTGTACAAGATACACTGACATTTTTAAATTGCCAGTAGCCATTGACTCCCCCATGTTCAACTACCGACATGTATAATTAAAGCCTGTTAGCTAGATCTGGTGAACCAACCAGATAAAAGCTAGCTAGCTAGTTAACGTTAGCTAACAGCTGAGTCTCAGTCAACAGTAGAATCCACACAGCGATTAAAGTCACTAATTGAATTCTTGAATGAATTAATGTAAAAGTTACAAATATGTAAGAAAGGCATGTTTGTACATTCTTAAAATATGAACTGTGGCGTCCTTTAACCAGATCATTTGATTAACCTCTATAAAATCACGGTGTGGAATCCGCCATTGACCAAGGCATCTGCACCCCCTAAAAAAAGGGAGATAACATGCCAGTATAATTTTCTTTCAGCTTGAATTCAGTTCAGATATGAGGCACATCTGTGTGGAATGAACAGTTTCACATACAAGTACTTAGTAATGATAAATATATCCCCATAAAGAGAAGAACTGTCTACAACTGAACACAATGCATCTTGTATTTACCTTGAGGGCTTTGCTGGCTCTGCCATCTGATGTCATGGTTGTGTTTTCTAATGCCTGTAAACACCAATAAAAAAAAAGGTTAGACTTGAACTATTAGTCAGTTTTCCAGGCTAAAGTTAAGATTGTACCAAATTACTCAAGACATTCCTCACTAGAAATCTTAGTTAAATCCAGGACTGATTTTAACATGTTAACCTACATAAATGTGTGATTTGATACTGGTACCTACTTGTGTACATACAGCCCAGACATGATACATTCTGTCCACTAAAACGGTAATATTAGTGAGTGAGTCAAGTACCAGTGTTCTAGGTCATCAAGTTTTGCCAGGGTCATTGAAGTCTCACTAAAACTTTAAAACAAAAAAGATGTACCGTTTTAAAGAAAGTGGACTGCAAGTTTTGTCTTTTGTTCAGTTTCACACTGATCAAAGGGAATCGGCGCGTACGTAAAATGTAGAGGGACACGTATCCTAACAGCAGCTTAAATGTGGTCAAAGTCCAGAATATGGACAACACTTTGCTGATCTACAGTTTCCAGAAATAGGAAATGTGTGGGTAGTGTGCAGATAATGTACTGTGTTTTACTTGGAGTCACGGTGATTCAGCACAAGTCTCCTCCCAAAGGCCTCCATTCACTGAGTCCTAATTTACGATAGAATCAACGGCTGTTCCACTATCTTTGCAAACAGTTTTTAGTTTCGCAAACACTAAATACTGACCATACTAATAGCAAGTGTCTAATAAAGCCACCAAGGCGATAAGCAACCCTGGCTGCTTTGTCATACTCAAAGTAGACACCGTTCTGACAAGCTAAGCAAAAATCTCCCTACCTCAGCAATTAACAGTTTTCACAGCTAAGGAAAATAAAAAGGCATAAATGTAGCTTTATGCTAAACTTGTGTTTATTGCTAACCTCCGGTAATAAAATACACAATACCGCACATCACCTTCACCCTATTTTGTAGAAGCTTTGACCCACTAAAGCAGAATGTAGTGATAACTGGCAAGTAGTCTGAGTATGTGAAAGATATCATAGACATTTGCACTTAAATGTAGCTCCGGATTAACTCGCTTTCTGATAACGTTAACTAAAATAAGAATTAGCTAGCTAGCTAACGTTACCTTTATAAATGTGTCAATTTCTGGCCAGATAGCTGTCTAGCTAACCTAGCTAGCAAAGCGTCATGTCATCCTGTTCGCATGGTAAATAAAAGGACCGGCGATGAAATACTAATAGCAATTACTCAATCGACAATAGGTGATATAATTATACCCGTCAGTAAAATGTCACAAATATACGAATTAAAACACAAACACAACAGACTGCCAGACACTATCAAGGTGTTAGCTATGCTAGGCAGCTAGTTAGCTAACGCTAGCTAGCATAACTGGATGGAAAACCCAGCGACATGGTAAACAAACGTAGAAAAAACGGCTTACCTGTTGCGTACTTGATCTTTCCCTCCTCCGACGTAGCCGAATAACAGATATTCGTCGATGTACTCTAAAGTCGGAACTAGGAAACTTAAATTAGGACAATTGAGCAAATTTAAAGGCGAGTAAAGCGACCCGCCTTTTCCCGGAATCACCGCGGGACTCTCATTCATAAACACACAGCAGAATGACGCAGCAGCTCAGGAATGAGGGCACAGTCATAAACAACTCCACCATGAGGAGGGACAAATATATCCATTTATTTATTTGTTTTGTATGTACTTTGAAAAAAAAGAGAGAAATTATATATATATATATATATATATATATATATATATATATATATATATATATAAATATATTTATTTGTTTTGTATGTACTTTGAAAAAAAAGAGAGAAATTATATATATATATATATATATATATATATATATATATATATATATATAGGTCGCTAATAACACTAAACAAATAAATAAATACATAAATACACAAATGTGTGTGTACATACATATATATATATATATACATATATATACACACATATACACACACACACACCGATCAGGCATAACATTATGACCACCTCCTTGTTTCTGCGCTCATTGTCCATTTTATCAGCTCCACTTACTATATAGGTGCACTTTGTAGTTCTACAATTACAAACTGTAGTCCATCTGTTTCTCTGCATATTTTGTTAGCCCCCTTTTACGCTGTTCTTCAGTGGTCAGGACCCCCATGGACCCTCACAGAGCAGCAGCAGATGAGCTATTGTCTCTGACTTTACATCTACAAGGTGGACTGACAAGGTAGGAGTGTCTAATAGAGTGGACAGTGAGTGGACAGTGAGTGGACACAGTGTTTAAAAACTCCAGCAACACTGCTGTGTCTGATTCATTCAGACCAGTGCAACACACACTAACACACCACCACCACATCAGTGTTACTGCAGTGCTGAGAATGATCCACCACCCAAACAGTACCTGCTCTGTGAGGGTCCATGGGGGTCCTGACCACTGAAGAACAGGGTAAAAGGGGGCCAACAAAGTATGCAGAGAAACAGACAGACTACAGTCTGTAATTGTAGAACTACAAAGTGCACCTATATAGTAAGTGGAGCTGATAAAATAAACAATGAACGTAGAAACAAGGAGGTGATCATAATGTTATGCCTGATCGGCGTATATAGGAAGGCCGTCAACGAGCACCCATACATGCCAACCCTACCTCAACAGAAGCCTCCAGGGCTAAAGGGGACCTACTCGACCTTCTTGTTCTGTTTGTGGCAGCTGATGTTTGGAGATTTTTCGATGGCACCATAGAAAGCAAGAGGTTTGTTTCACTACATCAGAGGTGGCAAAAGTACACAAGTTCCTTACTTAAGTAAAAGTACTAGTAATCTAGTAAAAAATACTCAAGTAAAAGTTAAAATATGACTGACATTTTTACTCAAGTAGAAGTATAAAAGTACACGCTCCTAAACGTACTTAGAGAAAAAATAAATAAAAGTATTTTCTTTTAGTCATTGCTAATACAATTTGTAAAAAGTATATATCGTTAGAGGGTTAGAGGTACACATCCGTGAAACTGAGCGTACATAATTGTCAAAATTGTTTATACTGGAACTGCAGGCATCATCCACACAAATCCACTTGTCTAAAGTGCTTAAACAGATTTCCTTTACAAGAATTTGAGACAGACATTGTTGGAATCTCAACAAAGAAAAATTGTTGATTTTTATTTTATCAGTCAACACTGAACACTAGATCAGATAATTCCTTTAAGTAAGCTGGGGCCAGAGTGGGATTTGTTTCCAGACCAAGAGCTACATGATGCAGACCAGCACACCCCAAACTACATACACACACAAAACAAAACACTAATGTAATGCAAATGCCAATACATCAGGCTATAGGCTGCAACATCAATACATTAGGCTGTAGGCTGTCAGCAGTGCAGTCATCACCCCACATATTCCAACACTTCCATCACCAAAACACAAACACAACCAACACTGTGGCATCTTCACTATAAAGCATGCTCACCACAGACACAACTTCTGTCCAGAGAAGACAAGTTGAAAACAGACAGTTAGACCTTCAAAGTCACAGATGTACAAACTTAAAACCTAATAATTATCGAAGCCAAAAACACAGGTTACTTAAAGTTAGAACAAAACAGAATAGTTATATTAAAACAGCTGACTAAGTATTTCATCAGCTGTGAAGATGGGGAAATACAGCAATCCTAAACACCTAAACCTAACCACTGTAGACAAAAGCATATTGCCGCGGCAGATATGAAACATGTTCATAGATTATTTATGGTTTTACCTGTGATGACTTGATGCACTGAATCAAAGTTAGTTGTTTGTTTTGATCAAATGTCGACATTTTCACAAAGTCCGTGCCAGTTTATGTAGTAAAACAGCACTGTAAGTACCAAATTTCCAGAAAACCGACGTTTTTTTTAACATCTGTTTTCGGCTTTGGACGGGAAGAAAACCTGTTAATCTTTTAACGCAACTGGATCTTAAAATTCAAACACTGGCGCGCTGATAACAAACTGAAGGATTGAAGCAAACATAATTAACTCAGTAGAGCTGCCTGTTGTGTCAGCCAGCGGCAGAGTGGATAATACTGTTGCCAAATTTACACAGTTGCGCTCATCTCTCAAGCCTGAAGTCGGCTTATGCAAATTTCCGTCCCGCCTTAAAAATCCTGCAGTTGCACGCTAACGTCCATTAGAAGTTGTAGCCGAGATGTTGCTGTGCCGTCCTTTTTTGTTCCGTCACACTAATACCGGAAGTACGGGACAGCGGCTTATGCGCCGGTACACACAGCAGAACAGGGGCCAGAGTGCCGGTGTTGTGCCGAATTCGGCACACCTGCCGCGAGATGCACCCCCTCTCGGGAGCGCGCACGCTACGTCAATTGATTTGCAAGCGGAGGAATTCTGCTGACTGTCTGTGTGCTATTTAAACAATATAGGGTAGTAAATAATTAACTTCATTTTCACCTCGACCAAGGAAATGCACAGTCTCACAAGAACATTTAATTGTCCTCACCAATATGTACAGTGCTTTAGACTATGCCATACAGGTGGAAAATGTTCAGATTGCGCAGTGAGACAATTCTGTGAAGCATGATATGCGTTTCAAAGGTATGTGATTTGCAAAATCTTGTTAACATTTTCTCTCTAGATTTTGTAATTATGTTTGTTGATTACTCAGTCAGCAAAAATATGTCAAAAAAAGTATACAATTATTATCTCATTATAAGAAGTAGTCCCAAGTGTACACTGTAAAATAAAGAAAAATAAATAATGTTCTGATGCAATGTATAACAGTTGACAACAAATGGAACATGACCTGCTTGGAATCTGTAACACTATAAAAAGTAAATAGCTTAGAATGTATATAAAATAAATACAAATCTATAATTGAAGATGTGTTGAAATGTGTTATGTATACTTTCACCATTGCTTCAGACTAGAAACAAAATCAAAAGGGTTTCCTAACTTCACTGTAGAAGCGAGAAGCTGAACAGCTAAAACAAATAAAGACAGCTGAATAGTTTGATGCTATAAACGGAAAAGTGGAAGACGTAATAAATCACTGGATGTGGACGTTTGAAGAGAATGAGGTATGGAAAGAAGAGCTCTCAGGTCGTAGAGCAAACGTTGATTTATTTACGTTGTGTATTTACTAAGATAAACAAATCTTTTAAATTACAGATATAAGAGGCTATGACAACCTAAATGAAACGTACAAATTTGCGTTTGAAAGTGTTACCAAATTTATTTATGCATTCACCCATTTAAGAGGCCTGACATTTTATACCCTCTTACACCTTTTAGCTACTAGGGCAGTTTCTTACTGCCTATCGTGTCATAATCTAAAACAATATCCCTTTGAGGACCTACAGCATCATCCTGTAGTAGGCTACGTTTTTTCTCAAAACTATCTACAACACCATCGTCATCCTTTTGCTTGCGCAGTAGCCTTACTTTCAGGGAAAGAAAGGAAAAGAAAGTTTTGTTTAGTGCGTTTAATAAAAACTGGCTACATCTTTGGTAATTGCACGTCGTTTTCTGAGGCGAGGGAGGGTCTTAGATTGTTTTCGCTAGGTCGCCGAGACTTGTTGTGGAACGATCTAACCATCTTCGCATGGATCCTGACCTGTACCAGACTATTTTCAACTATCAACTAACTACTATAAAACAAAGGGGGAATATCATTCTTGTGTGTCAAAATCAGAAAAATGCGAAATCCGCTGTAAAGCTCCCAAGTATATTGTAGAAGGCGAGTAAATGGAATGTCAGCAGACATTGACAAATGGGAGAGTAAACCTCACAACAGTCTAGGAGTCTGTCTCCACTCAGTGATATTGTTGGCTAGTTCTGCAGATCAGAGACGTTTGTTTTTTTGATTAATCAGCTTTCATCACGCTTCACTTAAACATGTCCAGAAATATAAGTGTATGGGCTGTTCTACAACCCCATTTCCAAAAAGTTGAGATGCTGTGCAAAATGTAAATAAACTTTTAATGCAATGATGTGCAAATCGTTTAAACCCCATATTTAAGTAAAAATAGTAAAAAGACAACATATCAAATGTTGAAACTGAGAAATTATTGAGTTTTGTTGTTGCCAAATGTTTTCACTGTGTGACAGATCTGGAGGCAGGCCACTTTAGCAGCTGTACTTTTTTACTACAGAGACATGCTGTTGTAATACATGCAGAATGTGGCTTGGCATTGTCTTACTGAAATAATCAAGGCCTTCCCTGAAAAAGACGTCATCTGGATGGCAGCATATGTTGCTTCAAAACCTGCATATATCATTCAGCATTAATGGTGCCTTCACAGATGTGTGTGTCACCCATGCCATCACAGATGCTGGCTTTTAAACTGTGTGCGGATAACATACCCTCTCCTTGTTAGCCCAGGAGGACGCGGCATCCATGATTTCTTTTTATTTGCCGGACCACAGCACACTTTTGCACTTCACCACAGTTCATTTTGAATGAGTTCGGGCCCAGAGAAGGCGACGTGTCTGGGTCCTGTTTATATACGGTTTCTTCTTTGTGTTTTAAAGTTTTAACTTGCATTTGTGGATGCAGTGATGAACTGTGTTCAAAGGCAGTGGTTTTCAGAAGTGTTCCTGAGCACAAGCAGTGATTTCCACTACAGAATCATGTCTGTTTTTAATGCAGTGCTGTCTGAGGGCCCAAAGATCTTGGCCATTCAATATTCATTTTCTGCTTTGTTCCCCTTTTTTGAAACACGTTGTTGGCATCAAATTCAAAATGGGTATATTTTTTTCCAAAAAAACAATAAAATTTCTCAGATTGAATATTTGATATGTTGTCTTTGCACTATTTTCAATTAATTATAGGGTTTAAATGATTTGCACATCCTTACATTCTGTTTTTTTTTACATTTTGCACAGCATCCCAACTATTTTGGAAACAGGGTTGTATGAATTATGTAGCATTTCTAATGGGGAAAAAATTAATACATTCATAAAACTCTCTTAAAGTGCAATTGGATTTTTTTCATATGAATACATCGAATTAAAGGTACAAAATGATTAATTAATTGTCATTCAAATTAATGTATTAGTAAACATGATGTGAATATATAGAAAAAAATAGGCATATTTTGTATTTAAAGCATGTTTTAAATTATTTAAATTGTTTCTGTTAAATATGTTTACTGCCTTTTCCTGACACTGAAAACTGAATAACTTTTGCACAGGACTGTATATTGTAAAAATGTAAGTAAGTTGTAAAGTGATGTTACAGTATGTTTTTATAAAATGTATACAAATGTGTTGTACAGGTGTCAGAGTGTTTGGTGTTTGGCCAGGCCAGCCAGAGCATAATAAAACAAGTGGTGGAATATACTACCATTAAGGTAAATGTGGTTTGTTCAGATCATGTACTTTGGGTGCAAGGAACTGTTGAAACTCTGCAAGGCAGGGGGTCTGTAGGACTGAAGTTGAGAACTGCTCTAAACTATGCTCTTTAATCTTGTTGAACTTGAGTTATTGTCAGAATGAACGGCTAACATGATATCTGAAAATTAACAGCCACATGTTCACCATAATTACATTAAAGTGTCTAATTACACCCAGCAATGAAATTCATAGACTGCTTGTAGTGATATTCTTCAATCTGTCTTTCAAGGCAGCACAGCCTTTTGAGCTGATTGGTATGGACTTAATTGGTAAACTGGTCTCAACCAAGAGAGGGTATCAGTACATTTGTGTACTGGTTGACTACCTCACTAAATGGCCACAAACCTATCCATTTAGGTCCAAGTGTGCAGATGAGGTGACAAAGTGCATCGTCAAATTCTTCTACCAGTTTGAAGCACCAAAGAGGATCCTCACTGACCAGGGCCGGGAGTTTGTCAATGCGGTAACTTTGGACTGACTTTCCAAATATAAAATGTTGTATGTCATGTTTAAATAGTATTAAGAAGCAAAATATGTTAATTAGACACATATTGCAGTCTGTATAAATTGTTTTGTTTATATTGTGTGCTTTATTATTAAAAGATCAACAAGAGAGTGTGTGAGAAGTTGGGCATAAAAAGAAATCTGTGCTCTCCATATCATCCTCAAACAAATGGCTTGGTGGAGAGGATGAATGGGACAATTCAGAGGTTAGGAGAAAGCAGCCTTTTTGTTCCTACATAAGTGCATTTAGACATAATTCATAGTATCAACATAAATTTTATTTTGATAATATACTTGTTCAGGAAATGCTAATTACAAGTAAGTAGTTATAAGTAAGTTAAGTGGTTTGTTTTCAGCGCCCTGAGCAAACTGGTGGGAAAGAGGACGGACACTTGGGATGAGTATCTTGATGCAGTGATGTTTGGACTGTGCACCAAAAAGCAAATTACGACAAAATTCTCACCTTACTACCTTATGTTCGGAAGGGAGGCTCGCTACCCATCAGAAGTCCCTGAGCACTACCAGGTTGGTGTATATGTTTAAAGTACATGTTCCAGTATTTGAGTGCAATCAGTGCATGCTTCAATGTACAAAGAACTGGCCATTTATTAACTATACACCACACCTTAACACACATTTTGGATTCTAAAAAGTGACTGTGGTGTGTGGTATACTAGGTACTAGGTACAACAGTGTTTCTAGCATGAGCCGTTGTTTTTACAGGAATGTGATGGTAGGTGATTTAAGCATTTTCCAAGCTGCGTTGTCCTAGGCTTTTTAGACACAACACGCTTTGAGGGAGGGTTTTGCATGAATGGTTCAAAGAGAAAAAAGGGACAAGCCGCAATCAGGCACATCATGTCCAGATTCAATGCTGGTATGCAGAATGTCATCTCAGAATGCATCACTTATTAGACTTTGTCTCAAATGGGCTACAACAGCTGACGACCACGTTGTGTGCCAGTTTTGCCAGTGAAGAACATGTAGGCACAGGATCATCAAAAAGGAACATGTTTACCACTGTGTTATATCATCTTTCCTTCATAAATATTTGGGGACTGAAGACACAAATCGATCCCGTTTTGAAAGTGTAATTTTTAGCTATTCTTCTCTTATACAAGTTTTCAGCTGTGTAGCTATACAGGGTCTGTGTTGTATGAGCTTAATAAGACATGTAATAAGACATGTTTTCAGTGGGAGACAGGTCTAGAATGCAGTAAGGACTGAGGGGTTGATCTGAACCTTTTGATGATATTATGCTCTGTAGAGGGTTAAATATCTAAAATCCTTGCAGAACTGTTATTTTAAACTGTTGGATTTTTTTGCTGATGTATTTTTTGGCAAAGTGGTCAACCCATTCTTGCTCATAAAGGAAAAGGCTTTCCTGGATGGTCCTTTTACACCCATACACGATTAAGATGTTTAAGATGTTTTTTTTGAACATTTAACAACAATCCTGGTCCTCAACTGACCCTGTCCCAACTTTTCTGAAGTGTTTTGCAGGCATCAATTTCAGAAAGAATGTAAATTTACAAAAAACAATGATAAGGTTGATAAGGTGTTCTGTTTTTGTTTGCATTTTACCTACTGTACCAACGTTCTGGAATTGGCCTGTAAATCCACAACGTAATATACAGTTAAAAACAAATTTTTTGTTTTTTAAAAAAGTATGGCTCTCTCTTTAGAAGGACAATTTTAGAAAACCAGAGGGTTGGTTCCTTACTTCTCTGTGCTCTCCAGCCATTGCATGTATAAGTTATACAAGCAACTCAACTGATTTAATTTAATGAAGGATTGATTAGCTGAAGCAGGCACTGAATGGTAATTGTAAATACTTGACTTTTATTGTACATTATCTTATGTAATTCTCAACTGTGTAAGCCAACTAAATTGTCTTTATTATTAAATGTTTCTGAATAACAACACAAGTAATGTTATGTATGTTTAAACATTCGCCTATTTTGCTTACAGGTAGACAGTAGTGCTGAGGCTGTCATTGGCGAAAAGGCAGTGTCAGAGGACATTAAACGGCTGGATGACATAAAAAAACATAGTCAAAGAAAATACTGAAAAGGTGCAGGACTCCACACAGCAGAGGTCTGGAGCTCCCAAGTCTGACTTCAAAGTTGGAGACCTAAGAAAACAGTAGAGGAAGGGTGGCAAACTGGAAACTTCACTGGGCCCTTTGTGATTACTGAGATACAGGGCAAGAGTGCAGATCCATTAGTAAGTAAGTAAGTAAGTAAGTAAAGTTTATTTATATAGCGGTTTTTACAACAGGTGTTGTCACAAAGTAGCTTTACAAGGAAATGAGCATTACAAAAAGAAGTCCGGGTCCGAGCCCCCATGAGCAAGCCAGTGGCGACAGTGGCAAGGAAAAACTCCCTAAGAGAAACAGGAAGAAACCTTGAGAGGAACCAGGACTCAGAAGGGGAACCCATCCTCCTCTGGTCGACACCGGATAGTAAACATTGTTAGTATAAAGTATTATAGTACAAAAAACAGGGTAAAACGTGAAGGAAACAATTAATTTGAATAGTTCAGTTCATGCAGCAGAAGCAGCAGCATCAGTGGGGTCAGGTTGTGAGGGTGAGGTTTGCACGGTGAGCAGTGGCACCCGATCAAGGCAGCAGAGGCAGCATCAGCAGCAGCAGGATGGGCAGCTGTTCAACTCGGCAAAAGAAAAAGAGGAAAAACACAGTCAATGGGTGATTGATTAATTTGAATTAGTTTGAATGATTGATTGGTTCAAGTGAATAATTTTGAATAGTTCATGCAGCAACAGCAGTAGTATCAGTGGGGTCAGGTTGTGAGGGTGAGGTTTGCACGGCGTTGTACAGCAGGAGGCTCAATGTTGGTAACCCGGTCCAGAGGGCTGGCGAGCAGTGGCACCCGATCGAGGCAGAAAAGGCAGCAGCATCAGAACGCACAGGATGGGCAGCTGTTCAACTCGGCGAGGAAAAGAAAGGAAAACACACAGAGAGGAAAACACACAGAGTTAGTTCTGTAATGGGTGACCTATCACAAATTATGGTGCTGTTTTCCTGAAGGTAAACATAGATCATTTAAAGCTTGCCAAAGAGCAGATGTCACGTATTCCACACAAGCTTGCAGCACCAGCAGCAGTGTCCCCTCCTGCAGCCGCAGCACCACCAGCAGCAGTGTCCCCTCCAGCACCAGCAGCAGTGTCCCCTCCAGCAGCACCACCAGCATCAGTGTCTCCTCCTGCAGCACAGTCAACAGTCCCCCCCCCCAGCACCACCAGCAGTAGTGTCCCCTCCAGCAGCACCACCAGCATCAGTGTCCCCTCCTGCAGCACAGCCAACAGTTTCCCCCCAGCATCACCAGCAGCAATTACCTCTCCAGCACAAACAACAGCAGTGTCCCGTCAGGCACCCCCAAGAGCAGTATGCTCTCTAGCAGCACCACTAACATGCTCCACCAAACAACCAGTGACTCCTGCATCTTTAGTACCCCCACCACCATTGTCCCCTGGAGCCATAACACCAGAAACTCAAACAGAAAAATGTACGCTTTCAAGTATCTCATACTTAAACGATATATAGAATATAATGCAGTGACTATCCTGTTTGGAGGTTATATTCTGTAGATTAGAGTAAACTAAACTAAAGGTTAGAGTAAACTAAAAGTGAATAAATGTTTTACTGTGCTGTTGTTAATGGACATTTTTGCTATATTAGATATAATTCTTGAGATATAACTACACAAAAAAATGCCACAGTGTAATGTACAAATGTCATTTTTTTACAGATCTGCATGATGCCTGGGCAAGGAAAAATGCCCATGTGATTCTCTCTAAGATTGGCCCATACAAGTTGTTTTACTGGGACATTGCAAACCAGGAACTTGAGAGTGAGGTATTTCTTCATATTTCAATGTGGGAACAGATTCATAGATTTACTACATTGATACAAATACATAGATTTACATAGATGTGCTGTCTGTTATGAACTGAGTCTTTAAACAGAAGTGTTTAGTTCAGTAATACAAATAGCTTCATTACAGTACAGTATTTACCTGTAAAATAATAGGATGACCCAAACTACACTGACTTGCCAGTTTAATTGGTACCTCTAACTTGTATCAACACTCATTATTCTGTTTTTTATTGTACCTACCATATTAGTACGCTTTCTAGGTTTGCAATTCCTAACTTAGTACATCTGTGGCTGGACATTTTTTCAGCGTTCCGTACTCTGTCCATGTAGTGGCATGGTGGTGTGTGTGGTACTGATGTAAATGTACCAGGCACAGTGTAGGTGCAAGGTTTTCTTTAGCTTAGTACCCCTGCTAGGTTGAGAACAGTCCAACACCCAAAAAGGTCCTATGGTCACAAAGTGTCTAGATGTAGCCAGTGAAGTTTTTATGGACTTTTTTAATAATAAAATTGAAAATATTAGACAACAAATTCAACCCACAGTATTAAATCCAACTTGGCTGTCATCTGACATGGCTGATATAAAACATAACATAGCTGCAGAAGAAAGGCTTGAAAATTTCTACCCACTCCCACAGCTAGAACTAGAGAAGATTATCTCCTCTGCAAATTGTACAACATGCACACTTGATGCAATCCCCTCAAAATTACTCAAAGAAGTACCACCAGTTATCATAACTATAGTAAACTCGTCCCTTAGCCTGGGCCATGTACCCAGAGCTTTTAAACTAGCAGTTATTAAGCCTCTGATCAAGAAACCAAACCTTGATGCTAGCATATTGTCTAATTACAGGCCTATATCTAACCTGCCATTTATATCTAAGATCTTAGAAAAAGCCGTAGCCCAACAACTTAGTTCATATCTACATAAGAACTACATATTTGAGAAATTCCAATCTGGATTCAGGCCACATCACAGCACTGAGACAGCTCTAGTTAAGATAACAAATGATCTTCTTCTTGCCTCTGATCAAGGCTACATATCCCTGTTAGTGCTACTTGACCTCAGCGCAGCTTTTGATACGATAGACCACAATATTCTCCTAGAAAGGTTAGAAAACATGGTTGGAATCACAGGGACAGCCCTATCGTGGTTCAAATCTTACTTAACAGAACGTTATCAGTTCGTAAAGGTAAATTACTTATGTTCCAATTATTCACAAGTAAGATCTGGAATTCCGCAAGGCTCTATTTTAGGACCATTATTATTTACATTATACATGTTACCGTTAGGCACAGTTATAAGTAGCCATGGCATTAACTTTCATTGTTACGCAGACGATACGCAATTATAAGCCTGATGACAAATACAGGTTAAAGAAAATAGAGGACTGTGTAAAAGATGTGAAAGGTTGGATGTCGCGTAACTTCCTCCTCCTAAACAGTAACAAAACAGAGGTTCTCCTTCTGGGTCCAAAAGTGGCAAGAAATAAATTATCAGATTTAACTTTAAATCTCGCTGACTTTCCAGTTATACCAGGTTCAGCAGCAAAAAATCTTAGTGTAATACTCGATCCAGATTTATCATTCGATCAACACATAGGCAGTATCATTAGGACAGCTTTTTTACATCTTCGCAATATCGCCAGAATAAGAAATGCCTTATCGCTGCACAATGCAGAAACATTAGTACATGTCTTTATTACCTCAAGGCTAGATTACTGTAACACACTACTATCAGGATGCACCAGCAGGAATTTAAGTAAACTTCAGTTAGTTCAAAATGCTGCAGCCAGGGTTCTCACTAAAACTAGAAAATTTGATCATATCAGTCCAGTTCTATCATCACTCCATTGGCTGCCTGTTAAATTCCGTTTTGATTACAAAATTCTTTTATTGACGTATAAAGCCCTACATGGGCTCGCTCCTGAGTACCTGCAAGACCTTATTTCCCATTACGAGCCACCACGATTACTCAGATCACAGAGTGCTGGCTTTTTAATAGTTCCCAGAATTCAGAAGGTTTCATCTGGGGGAAGAGCCTTTTCTTATAAAGCCCCCAAACTCTGGAATGATCTTCCAGAAAATGTTCGGGACTCAGAGTCAGTCGCAATATTCAAATCTAGGCTGAAAACTCACTTGTTTAGTTTAGCTTTTGGTAGCTAATGTTTCCCCTTGGATAAAGGCAGCAGATCCAGGGGTCCATGGACGCAGGGAATTATAGTAAACTGAGACTGGTGCTGTCGTCCCGCCGCTCACACGCGAACACTCAGGTTTGTGGACGGTGGAGCGGAGGGATGCCAAATTGTTTCAGGGTGCTCCCGTGTCTGTGTGCCCTTTTGGTTCGCTCCTTTTAGTTAAGCTGTTATAGTCAGATCTGCCAGAGTCATTAGCCACACTCTGGAAATGTTTTACATACTACTATACATACACCCATACAGAACTAAACTAACTCCATTTCCCTACCTTTCTTCCGAGAAAACGACTGCCCACCTGTCCGGCCAGACACTGCTGGATGATTGTTTGTAGAGCTCTCCGGCTACCCGCTTCAGACCAGTTACCCACAACCCAGTCACCGCCACCTGCCTTGGACTGGCTGCCCACTCTACACTGAAGTCTCCTAACTATTACTACCTCCTAACTATTACTACTACTACTATTAATATTAGTAGAATAATAATTTTGTACGTAGTTTGACCAGAGGAGGATGGTTCCCCCCTTGTGAGCCTTGGTTCCTCCCAAGGTTTCTTCCTCAGCTCTGCGGGAGTTTTTCCTTGCCACTGTCGCCCCTGGCTTGCTCACCTGGAGGATTTACATTTCATGTTGAAACTTTGTTCTAAACGGATTTCTGTGAAGCTGCTTTGTGACAACATCAGTTGTAAAAAGCGCTATACAAATAAATTTGATTGACTGATTGATTGATGTAGGGCTAGAGGTTGGAAAAAGATGAGCTGTAGTATCTAACTGCTGTGGACAGAATGGTCCACCACCCAGAAACCTGCTGTACAGTGGTGGTCCTGTGGTTGCCCCTTTCCATTGATGGATAGGTTAGAGGGTGGTTGATAAATTATGTAGCAACAGTTGGGCTACCATCAGTAAACCTATATGACTGGTAGACCTGATAAAATACCCACTGAGTATAGCTATAAGTTGGGTATGTATTCTTAAAAGAGACAACTATACATGTAAAAGTAAAATGCAGTTTTTGCAATGTATCTCTCAGAGTGAGGCTGCATCATCCCTACTTATTATTTAATTCTGTAAAATTTTAACCTTTAACAGGTAATAAATGCTTACTTAACAGTGGTGGTGAAAGAATACAACAAAAACAATCCAGATCGGGCAGCTCTAATCAACACCTTTGCAATGTCTGCAATCTGGATGGGGAAACTGTCAAGGTTAAAGGTTTGTAGTGGATTCTTAAGCAAATTTGAATCTCTTTTTCTCTTATGTCCAAATTTTAATTATGTTTGATACCCTCAAAAGAGTATAAGTTGACTGTGGGAATTGTGCATGAGCACCACCACTGGATGCTAATGGTAAGAGTTATCAGACTTTCACTCAAAAATGTAGGGGCTATTTGGGGCTTTCTTATTCAGATCACATTAGTAACAATTTAATGCCTTTTAAAAATAACTTAAATCCGTAAAGACATGTTAGGAGAAGAAGTAAATAAATAAAAGCTCAGTCCTAGGAAACAAGGTTATAAGTTTTAGTGTTCTGTCATCTGTTCTTTTTTTCTGTGTTGGGCTTATAAGAGCACATATCAAGTTGTTCTACAGGACTGACAGACCCTTCCTACTTTACCAGTTATTCTTGTGTTTTTAAAACCGGGTCTGTTTAGTATCCAGTACCTGCATAGCAGATAAAATAAAAGCACACATTCTTGAGTTGAACATTTTAGTCATACATGTAAAGCATACCTACAACCTCTTGTACCTTAAAATGCACGTCATGTATCCAAAAGACAAAAAGTACCTTTTTTTGGACCCAATGGGAGAATCTCAGGCCAAAATGAAGAAGTGCTTGGAAACAACAAGGTAAATGTCACCATACCACTGAATCCACAGTGACAGATAGGAAGTACTTTTAAATAATTAGAGACTTATTTTATTTTCATACTGAAGGTCATTCATGCGGAAAAAAGGCTGCAATGTTTCAAGGTGGACTTGCAGCACTGTCCCTCATGCACGACAGCAAGATGGCACATCCTATGGTGTCGTAGCTGTAAAAGTGAGTATACAGTAGACTACAGCAGTTGTTTTAACAGTGTGGTTAAGTCAGTGTTATGTGATCATTACCAGTTTTCAGACATTGAAACATACTGTTCAAAGCGTTGTTTTAGGATTGGTGCTTCACATTATTGCAAATTATTCATGTTGCAGTTATAACCCCATTCCCCAAAAAGTTGAGACGCTGTGAAAAATGTAAATAAAAACCAAATGCAATGATGTGCAAATCATTTAAACCCTATATTTCATTGAAAATTGTACAAAGACAACATATCAAATGTGGAAACTGAGGAATTTTGTTTTTTGAAAAATGTATGCCCATTTTGAATTTGATGCCAACAACGCATTCCAAAAAAGTTGGGATGGGAGCAACGAAAGGCTGGTAAAGTTGTGTAATGCTAAAAACACCTGGTGGTTGATTGACAACAGGTCAGTAACATGATTTGTAATAAAAAAGCATCTCAGAGAGGCTGAGTCTTTCAGAAGTAAAGATGAGGAGAGGGTTCACCACTCTGTGAAAGACTGCACCATTAAATAGTGCAACAATTCAAGAATAACGTTTCTCAATGTAAAATAGCAAAGAACTTTTGCTTTTCATCATCTAAGCTACATAGTATCATTAAAAGAGAAATGTCTGTATGCAAGGGACAAGGTCAAAAAACAGTATTTGCTGGCCGTGATCTTTGGGCCCTCAGGCAGCACTGCATTAAAAACAGACATGATTCTGTAGTGGAAATCACTGCATGG